GAACGATGCGCCTACCGACGCCGCAAACATGACGCCGACGTACTCGAGCGAAGCGGGCTTGCCCTGCTCGGACGGGATGACGTCCTCGAGCGAAGCGGGCTTGCCCTCGGACGGGATGCCGGCGGCCTCGCCTCCGGCAGCGTTGACGGTCGTGTTACCCGCCAGCGACGCCTGTGTCAGCCAGAAGGCCAGAGGATACATCTTGCAGGTGGGAGCGCATTGTCACGTGCGCGAAAGCACAAGCCTGCTTGTCAGCAAGCGACGTCGGCGGAGGAGAGAGCTTGAGCACGAGCTTGTCACCGGCGGCCGGCATCCAGCTCGAGGGTGAGGGGCGGACGCCTCTGTCGGCGCAGACCGCTGGTACGAGTCTCGCGCCGCTGCCGCCGCGGACGGTGTCGGCCTCCCCGCCGCTGGCTGGCTGGCCGCTGGCTGGGCCGGCGAGGCCAGCACGGGGGAGTACTGGAAGGCGGGCGGCGCGGGGCGCGCAGCGGGGGACAGCTGCGGCGGCGCCGCTCGTTGCGGCGGCGCGTGCGGCGCCTGCGTCCGGGACAGACCGCCGAGGTGAGGGCGGTGGTGACGGTCTCGTGCAGGGCAGTCGGAGCAGCGCGCGGAACACGAGGGGATACGAGTGCAGCGGACACAGCCGGGTGCGGGTGAAGACAGTGGAGTACGTGCACGGCTCCTCTCGTGCGCTGGTCGGAATACAAGAACACGTGTTCAGCTTCTAGGGCCCGAGATATGGGGAGATATGGGGAGATATGGGGAGATATTCAGCTTCTAGGGTGCCGCGGCGCCGGCTGCGCGGCAGCGAGCTGCGGACCCCACGTCGCGGGCGCGGCCGTGCCAGCCGGGCTGGCTAGCGGCCCTCCCGGGCTCCGGCCGACGGGGGCGGCGGGTCGCAGCTGCGGGTCAACCAGAGCGGGCATGAGGCGTGTGTGTGTGTGTGTCTGTGTGTGTGTGTGTGTGTGTGTGTGTGTGTGTGTGTGTGTGTGCGTGTGTGCGCGCGTGCGTGTGGTGGTGGTGGTGGTTTGGGGGGCGGGGGGAGCGCAATGCAGGGCGCGCGCGTGGGTCGCCGCCTTCCCGCGAGAGTAGGCTGCGAGGCGGTCCAAAGCGAGAGCCGGCGGGCGGGGGGGGGGGGGGGGAGGGTTCCACCTGCGGTCGCGGCTGCGGCGCGGCATGCTGCGCCGGCATCGGCGAGCGCTGCGGCTGTGGCGGCATCGGCGAGCGCGCCAGCGAGGAGGCGGTCTGATGCGGGCTGGGCGCGAAGGGCTGCCCCGCCCTCGGCTGCATCTGCGGCTGCACCTGCCGCTGCATCTGCGGCTGAGGCGACGGCTGCATCTGCCGCTGCGACGGCTGCATCTGCGGCTGAGGCGACGGCTTGCGAAGCGTGGGTTGGCCCGGCACAGAGGCGAGCCGGTTCATGTGCGGCGAAGAGTGCGCCTGCTGCGCCTGCGGCGCCCGAGGCTGCAGCTGCAGCTGCCCGAGCTGCTCGTGCGGCGGCGGCGCTGGCGCTTGGCCCGACGAGAGGCGCGGCTGCGGCGCCGGCGCAGCAGCAGTGGGCTGCGGCGCGGTGGACGCGTGCGCCCTGCGGCGCAAGGAGCGGGTGGGCGATCAGGGGCATTTTCGGGCTGCGCCGCGGCCATGCACACACCTGAACGGGTTTGCAGCGGCACCGCTCTGCGCCTTGCGCTTCATCTCTTCCTTGAGCCAGCGCGCTTGGTCGGTGCCGTATCCGAGCGTGCGTGGGTCGCCCGGCGCCACGGGAAGCTCAGCCGGCGGCGCACGCTGATAGGTCTCGCTCATTGGACGCGCACGAGCTTGGGCGGCGCCTAAACAAAGAATTTTATTACCATCAGAAAAGAAACCTACCAAAACCCTACTTAGTATATCCTCGCTCTAGCCTCCACGCGAAAAATGCACGACAACGGCAGGCAACGCATGCCCCGTCAAGCATGTGTACTGCGCGCCGTTGGCTTTGGCTTCGGCGCGGACTTCGAAGCAGGCTTGGGCTTTGCCTTTGGCGCTGGCTTCGGCGAAGCTGGCTGTGGCGTGTTTGGCGTGGGCCATCGCATGGGCTGCAGCTTGGGGCGCTTGGGTTGACGGGTGGCTGCCCCTGCCGCCCATCCCCCTTCGGGCTCCGTGTCGGGCGCCATGTCGCTCTTGTCGTAGCCCTTGTGTCGCCGCAAGCGACCGCCGGGCATCACCTCGAAGACGACGCCTCGGTGCTGCGCGCTGCCAAAGAACTCCATGTCGGTGCCGAAGAGCTTGCTGTAGGCCTTCGCGTTTCTACCGATGGAGGCGATCTCCCCGAGGACCGGCGCGAGGTGCTCCCATCGAAGCTCGACCTATTCACGCGCCCCAGGTAAGAGAACTGCCCAGGGAAAATTCTCAAGCCCGCCTCTTAGCTCGACGTTCTGATCCCGCTTTCGGAACATGGCCGACTTCCAAGAGCTGCTCGAGTCAGCGTAGAAGCCGCCCTTCGACTCGAGCCGCGAGACGCTGACCATGCTCGGGTCCTGCACGATGATTCCCCACCAAAAGTAGTCGAAGCCCGAGAAGCGCGAAACCGCAGGGTGCCAGTTGTTGGCGTACGACTTCGTGGCGTTGTTGCCTCTCACCTCGACGACGGAGGTGCCGACCCGCGTGAACACGGCATTCATCTCGGCGGACCTGTTCACTGCTGCACCCGTGAGGAGACGCTATTCACTCACTGCGTGAGACTTCCGGAGCATGCATCGGGGACCCGTGCGTGCCGACCATCACATCAGTGTCCTTGAGCACGGCCAGGTCATGCGCAAAGGGGCGCGAACCGAAGCTGTAGGGGCGGCACTCCACGGGCTGACCGCCGGTCGCCCCCGTCAGCCCTGCATGGGGATGGACGATCTGTCTGAGAAGAAGCAAACGTAGGGAAGAGGTGCAGTCCGAAATGCCTGCGGGGAAGCTGACGGCGCGGGCACGATCGCAGTTCTCGAGCAGCGCGTCGAAGCGCAGTAGCTGCCTCGTTGCGGCGGCAGAGCGCTGCTCGATGAGGACGCGCAGTGGGCGAGCCGCCGGTGGATCCACCTATTCGCGGGTGGATGGTGGAAAGCGACGCCGTCCACATCTTGAATCGTATCAGCCCGGGGGTAGCACCGCCCAGAAGGGCGGGACATGCTTCAGCATAGGCAGGTAGTAGCGCATTACCTGGGCGAGGAGATGGGGAGATCACTGAAGATTTATGGGGGTCGGTAGAAACGCTGCTATGCAACGCGTCCGCCTCCTTTCCCGTCCTGGGCAGCATTGCCTTGAAGTCGCGGTTCGTCTTCCAGACAAGCAGACGGCGGAAGCAGCGGACGTGCCTCCCCTCGTACGTGCTCGTGCTCGGCGCGTCCGGAGGCTTGCGAGCCGAGAAATCGGCGAAGTCGGTTGGCTCGAAGTGAGAGAAGGCCCGCATGATGCCGCGGTTGAACTGCGTTAGCGGTAGCTTGAGCGGCGACCACAGCACAATGGAAAGGTCGCGCGAGAGGACGCCCTTTTGTAGGTAGTGGTTATACGCGGGCGGGACGCGGGCGAAGAACTCGCAAAGCGTATTCGGCCACATCGATGCGATCAGGATGGGCACTGTGCATGCCGTAAAGTTTACTTTCCCCTCCACCTCCTGAGGGCTCGCCAGTCGGATGTCCAAGCCATGGACCTCGGGGGACTTGAGAAGCCGGCCCATCACGAGCGACGTGGGCGTCCCAGCGTGTGCTTGGAGGGAGAGCGGCGACTTAGTGCCAAGGGACTCGTGCGCCGCGCGTACGGACGCCGGCCGGAAGTAGTAGAGCAGGTCTGAAAAGTCGAGTTCCTGTTCAAAGCTCGCGGTGTGAAAAGGTGGTGCCATCGGGATAGCTTTTGGAGTAAGGCGCTAAGGCCGGTAGGGAGGGACGGTCAGCAGCGGTCCCTCGCCCCGTCTCCTTGAGCTTACGCGGGTCGTACACGATGATGGTCTCCTGGTCAACACAGACGAACTCGAGGAGGTCGAGCTGGCTGTCGAACGTTTGCTTGCCTCCCCTTTCCCGCACAGAGTGCCGCAGCTGCTGCTGAATCGCGTCAAAATCAAGCCGCGAGGCGGCGCATTTCCCTTGGCCATGCCGACCCTGAGTGACAGACATAGTCGGCCCTGGGGGCCGGTAGAGAGCGTTCTAGGTCTACCCCGGGACCGGGACTGGGGACCGGGAGCGCGGTGGTCGAGGGGACGTTGATGTGTAGACTTGATCGGAAGTAAAAAGCGGTAGTATTGGTGCACCCGGCCTAGTCGCGCAATTCACGTTTCCGACTACTAAAAATGCTTCCCGTGCGAAAAAAAAGCTCGCAAGCACACCACCGAAAAGGACGCCGTCGAGCGCGGTGGGGGGGCCGCCCACGACGCGCGCCACGAGGTTCTCGACCTTGTGCGAGCCATCAGGGGCGTGCTCGGCGCTTTAGTCGGCGAGGACACACACACACACACACACACACACACACACACACACACACACACACACACACACACACACATACACACAACCCCCTCTCTCTTTTCTCCCAGTAAGCTAAAAGTACGTACGTACACACACAAAACACAAACACACACACACACGTGCGGCGCACTGAATTTTTGGCTCGCGAGGCTGCCCAAATAGTCGGCTACGATGGTCGGGTCCTCGCCGCATCCGGACGAGAACACGCCGTGCAGCCGCCCCGAGTCGCGCGAGGCGCGGCGCATCGTCCAGACGCATATCGTCACGCTCTCTGAGGAGGCTGGCCACGGCGAGCTGGCCCCGTCGTGCCCGCTCTCGCCACACAACGACGTGCTCGCGGCGCACGAGGCAGCCAAGCGGCGGCTGAGCGGCGCGGTGTGGAAGTGCGGGCTCTGCGGCAAGCAGTTCCGGTCCGAGCGCCACCTCGACCTGCATATGCACCGCAAGCACGCCGACGCCTCTCCCGCCGGCGCCACCTCGTGCCTCGCCGACGAGTGCGACCTGCTGCGCTGCCCGTCGTGGGTCAAGCGGCTGGGCGACGCGGCCGCCGCGTGCACTGAGGGCGCACTCGCCGTGCGGCGCGAGCACTGCGCGGCGCTCATGCACTCGTGCGCCTTTGGGCCCCTGTTTGCCCAGCTGGAGCACGAGTACTGCGCCAACCTGACTTGCAGCTACCGGCGCGCGAGGGGCCGAAACACACCTGCCAGACAGACATCACTTCGCGAGGATCCTGTGGACCCATCTCAATCGCGAGGATCCTGTGGACCCATCTCAATCGCGAGGATCCTGGGGACCCATCTTAATCGCCGCTCCCCCCACCCCGGCTGCCATCCCCGCACGTCGCGCGCGCGGCGCGCGCCTCTTGACGAGGCGAGGGCCGGAACCGCCGCAGGCAGCAGCTTATCGCTGGGCACATCGACGCGCACCCTCCGGGCCACACGCGGGGCGGTCTCGGTCTCCTTGCCTTCGGTGTGCTCGGCGTGGCCGCGGCGGCAGTTGTCTGCTGCGCTTGTCTCGGCATCCCTGAGGCGCAGCGAACGTGTCGACACCTCCATCCTCCACGCCCCCCCTGCTCCTCAAGTGCCGTCCGCCGGCGCGCAGGCTCAAAACGGAGGCCGCACGCCTACTCACCAGTCCAAGGAGAGGTCCGACTCGGCGCGAAACAACAGCGCGCAAGACCGCCCATGCGCCCCAAGCGGCAAGTTTACACGTCACCTTCCCATCTCCCAGGCTCGTGCCTTCCGCGCCGCCGAGAGCGGGAGCGTCGTGCGGCAGACGGCGACAAGGCAGCGGCTGTACCAGCCCCCCCGCCACACTGACTAGCTCAAGGGGAGAGGGGGGTTTGACCGAGCCCTTCGTGGACATTTGGTCTCTGTGTGGTGGTCGGGGACGCTCGTCCGACTTGATGGTCTCGTAGCTGACGGCGCCGCAGCCGACGACCGTGCGCTGAGCCGTGTCGACGAGTCAGCCTTGCAGCATCGATGCTGCCGAGGTAGAGCTTGCCTGGCGACACGAGCATTGTGCCGGACGTGAGCGATCTCAGCAGCGACATCGCGGTGTTCGCGCCCGATATCTGGCGCCGGTTGTTTTCACTTTAATATCATACTATAATCTATAAAAATCGGTTTACGAAAACCATAGTCTGAGGGTATGCTCAAAGTTCGGCCGATTTGGGTCAAAACGCTAAAAAGCACTGCGCGCAGTAGACTTGGGGCAAAACGACCTCGAGAAAACGACAAAACTGACAAAAGCTGGCGCCCGGGCAAAGTGGTAAAAAAAGTCGCGCGCCGCAGGCGCGCGAAAATTTTGGACATTGATTCTTCCTCTCCGGCGGCGCCCGCGGCCGCTCTCTCCACAAATACTCGCTCACTATAGCGGCGTGCAGCCGGCGGCGCAGCCACGCCTTCACTGCGAGTTGCCCGAGAGGGCCTCGCCACGCTCCTAGCCATAGAGCATAGTGTGCGGGACTACTTTGCGGGACGATAGCTACTACTTACTACAGCAGCATTCCCAGCCCCTTTGCCAAAGGTCGTCCGGTTTGAGCGAATTTTGATTAGTTTAGAACGGTCCCCTGAGCCCTGTGCCTTGTGTCGCTGGCGCGCCCCAGCCCAGCCCAGCACGAGGCACCCTTTAGGCACCCCCCTCCCCCCCCCCCCCCCCGGGTCCCGGCGCGCCGCCAGCGCCGAGGAAGTTTTTGAGAAATGCTAAAGAGCGGCCGCACACTGCTCGGTACCCCCCCCTGCACACCGACAAACAGCGCGCTTATCTTGCGACCCCCCTGATCAGGTGTCCGCCTGTCACGTATAGTACGTAGAAGCTAGAACGTTTGGAGTTGAAGGGCGTGTCTGTGCACAGCTAGCTGTACACAAGCGTCCACCTTGACCTTCTGTGTGTGACACTTGTATAACACTTGTGTGTGTACAGTAACACAGCTGTACACTGTACACCACTACTGCGCATGGTCGATCTTCTGGCCCTCTTTAGCTCTCTCTCTCAGTCAGTTGTACTTCTTAGGACTTAGCGTACGTACTTTTAAGCTTACTAGAGAGCGTACGTACGAGAGAGAGAGAGAGAGAGATCTCCCTGTTCTCCTCGTAAGGGCAAACCCCGCAAAGTGACCCGTTTTTACCCACCCACGCCCGTGCGCGCGTATCTTAGCTAAGGTACGCGGCCACAGGGCCACACGCGCTGGCGCGCACGGCAACCGGGACTTACACGCGCGACACGAGGGACTGTGTATCCTTGGCTGCCTCGTGGGAGAATAGCCGCCCTCACCCGCTGCCGCGCATCGAGCTCGGCGGGCGGGGCCTAATAAGTGTCATTCTGTGCCGGCGCGTATCTTAGCCAAGATACGCGGCCAAACGTGCAGACGCGTACAGCAGCCTCGGCAAGTGCCTTCACGCGCTGGGTCAGGTGCAGCAGCAGCCAGTGCACAGCAGCAGCAGCCAGTGCAGCAGCAGCAGCCAGTGCAGCAGCGAGTGATCACGCTTGCACAAGCGGTGGGCGGTCGTCATGTGCTGCGCAATGGGTCACTTTGGCTAAATCCCCGGCTGCACGAAAGCATAGTGCGACTTTCACCACTTTTGTCGTTTTGCCCCAAATCTACCCACGTGGGTGCTTTTAGCGTTTTGACCCAAATCGGCCGAACTTTTAGGATACCCTCAGACTATGTGATGGACCTCTCTCCAGCGGAGGGAACGACACGGCCCGATTTCTTCTATGGGTCGCGTACACCTCCCACCGTTCGGTGAGCTTGCGCCTTGTGCATGCCGATGGCAGCCCGTGTGGCGGACGGCATGTGCACTGGGGTGTTCATGGGGTCCCGTACCATGCGGAATCGACCCTATGGACATTGGATTCCAGGGACTGTTCACGTCGTTGAGGACGTACGTTCGCTGCGGCGAAGCGCGAGAGCCATCCCTCCCTGCCTGCGGTGCGCCCGCGTTCGCGGGGGGGTGCCCGCGCGCGGCAGCGCACCGCAGGGCCCACACAATCCCTCTCCTGGTCCCACCCCCAAGCATGCTGCTCATGCCGCCACATACATCTTGAGCACTTGAGCACTGGATAGGGTCGATTCCGCATGGTACGGGACCCCTCGATCGTCTCGCCCTCCCTCACTGGTGTGTTCATTGGGGGGGGTCATAACAAACACGGTACAGGATCGAGGTGCACGCTGCTGGAGCAGTGTCGTCCCCCCTCTCCCCGACGGCGATGGCGGTGTGTGACCGATCGAGCTACAAGAGGAACTTGTTCAGGAGGAGACCGAAGCCTGGCCGGATCTGCTGGCGTGAATCAGTGTGCTGCTGCGGCACGCGTCGACCGTCGTCCCAATAGTCTTTTTAGTCAGCTTGCGAGTCATCTCGACTCTCGGACAGTACCCAACAGGGACATCTCTCTGTATACACGAGTGGGGTATTCACACTCCCAACAGTTGTGTAAGACGCCGTCCCCGTAGTCCCCCAACCTCCCCATCGGGCCGCGTACGAGGCAACGTGGCAGACTTTTCGCTTAAGGTCATTCACGGGTGTCCGCGGCCCACTGTGCCCGCTGGTAGGACAATGACCGCCGCAAACCCTGTGGTGAGCTCCATATGATCTCGGATATTTTTTGTAGGTACCGTAATATTAAAAAACTACTTTGTCTTCGAGTGAAAAGTAGTCCGAGAAAGCCCGCGGCCGCAGTGAATTAAAAGGCGCGGTTTTCGAGGGGGAATCTGGAGAATCTGGGAATCGGCTCACCACGGATCCCCACCTCATCGAAAAACTTTTCACTCCAAGACAAAGTACTTTTTTAAGGTGCTCTACAAGCTAGGCACAAAAGATATGGCATTGCAGGCCATTTAGGGCCCCTAGACGTCACTGAGTAGGCCAAAATCCCCACTGGGCCGGGAGAAACGTTAAATTCTTTTCATAGCGATGTGCATGCTATGGCTGCTCGCCCTCTCGTCGCCGCGCCGCGCCTGCCTCGCTCATCCAACTCAGCTCCTCCGGCTGCGTGGCGGACAGAGCCCTGGCGAGCTCTCTGATGTGTGGAAAAAGCGTTTGCAGGCTGCAGTCGAGGCGCAGCAGCGAGATCAGCTTGGCGAGGCTGCCGAGCTGTACCGGATGGCGATGGAGCTGCACCCACCACTGCAGGGCGCCTGGCCGGTGCTAACCAATTACGGTCTCTCTTTGCAGCCCTCCGACCCGGCCAAGGCTGCGGACGCCTTCCGGAAGGCTGTCGAGCTGGCACCGGACGACAAGGCGAAGGCAGATTCGCAATTCAACCTCGCCAACGCGCTGACCGACGCGAGTCAGCCAGACGAGGCCGACGCGGCGTACGGGGCGTGTCTCGCTCTGGTGCCGGACGACGGCGGCGCCCACTACAACCGCGGCGCGCTGAGGTTGACGCGTGGCGACGCCAAGGGCGCGCTGCCTTGCATGGAGGCGGCGGTGCGGCTGTCTCCGCAGGACGCAAAGGCGCACCTGGGCGTGGCGGACTGCAACATGCGGCTCGGGCGCCCCGAGGAGGCGGAGGCGAGCCGCTACATGCTGAATACATGTCCTTGACTCCACGGCACTCCACGGCACTCCGCTGCACACTCGTCGTACACGAAGCCTGCGGAACACGCTGCACACACACCGCGATCACGCCCCGACTCTGGTGTCTCCATGGCGCAGGCGAGCTACGCCGTCTCGCGCAAGCTGAGGCCGGAGCACGCGCTGACGTGGGCCTCCTCGGGCAACTGCGCCGAGGAGAGGGGCGAGTACGAGGCGGCGGAGACGCACTGGAAGCGGTCGCTGCAGCTGGCGCGGCGGCGTGCACTGCAGGGAGATACACGAGATCACGCGAGATCGAGACCACCCGAGGTTAGGCGCCAGACGACGGCGTGTACTGCAACCTCGGCTCGATGCTGCGCCGGCTCAACCGGATGCGCGAGTCGCGGGACGCGTACGCCGCTGCGCTCGCGCTGAATCCGCGGAGCGTAGACGCGCACATAGGGATGGGGAAGGCGTGTGCCGCGCCGGTCGGGCGGCGCGCAATGCCGGGTGCTCTCGGGTAATGAGCTCGGGGACCCTCCCAAGGCGTACACCGCGCCGGCGGGCGGCGCCGGCTCCGAGGCGCAGCGGCGCCACTACGCCGCGTTCCTCGCGCGCACGTACGGCGAGGCGCTCAAGTTGAGCCCGGAGCATGTCGGTGCGAACCTCGCCGTCGCCGAGGGGCTGCACATGTGGGGCGAGCACGGGCCGTGCCCCGAGCTGGGCGGGCGCAGCGCGATCGACTTTTACCGCGCGGTGCTGCAGCTGGCGCCGGACAACACAAACGCCGCCACGCACGCCGCCTACGACGGGGCCGTGCCCGAGGGCGGCCCCGCGCCGCAGGCAGGTACGTTTGGGGAGGCGGACGCGCCGCCGGGCGAGAGCGTCGCCGCGCTGATCGCGCCGCTGCCGCCGCCGGGGGCGAGCGAGGCGGAGGTGGCGGCGGCGGCGGACGCGGCGCTTTCTCTGTGGCGGCGGAACGGCGTGGTTGTCTTTGAGAAGCTTCTCACGCCGCACGCGACGGAGGCGCTGCTCTCCGCCGTCCGAGCGGCCGAGGCAGACGACGGCGCCACTGACTGCTACCACACCACCCATGGTACTGAACCCACACTGGATTCGATGCTCTGGAGGTATGGTACTAGGCGCCACCGACTACACCCTCGTCACGCGCAACGCCAAGCGCGGCACGCGCAGCCACAAGGCGCTGCCCGTGAGCGCGGCGAGAGAGGCGCTCGGCGAGGTTGCGCAGCGCATCGGCCCCTTCCTCTCGGCGGCGCTGGGCGGCGGCGGCGCTCTCGCGCTGATGGAGTCGGGCTTTATGGTGACGCGACCGGGCGCAGAGGCGCAGGCTTTCCACCGTGACGTGGCGCCCGGCGTCGTCTCGGCGTCGTCGCTCGCGGCCTCGCTGCAGGTCGCGCTGGTCGACACTTGCGCCGAGCAGGGCGTGCTGGAGGTGCGACTCTCCCCCCGGGGCTTGCACTCTGGATGCCGTGGCAGCTCCTGCCTGGCTTGCCCCTGGGTGTGGAGATGCAAGAGCCGCGGAGAGCGACGGCTACCTGGCCTCTGGCCTTGCCCTTTAGGTGAGCCCCGGCTCGCACCGCTTCGACCCCGCGGCGCCTGAGACAACCTCGTTCGACCGGCGCGTCGCGGCAGGCGGCAGCGCCACCGCGGGCGGCGCGGCGGCGGCGGTCGGCGGGCCGAGGCTACGGCTCGCTCTTCCGGCCGGGTCAGTGGCGGTGTACGCGCTCCATTTGCTGCATCGCGGATCGGCAAACACCGCTCCCGCCGACCGCCCATTCTACTTCTTCACGCTCAAGGGGCCGGGGTGCGCTGGGGAGTCAACCCCCCCCCTTCCCAAACCCCGTCGCGCCGTAGTCGATTCGCACGCCGCCCATCCTTCCCCCGGCGTGTCTGTGCGCAGGTACGCGCCGCCCGGGCTGGCGTACACGATCGAGCCCTCGGACATTGCGCGCTGGAGCCTGCACGGCACGGCGCTCCTCGAGCAGGCGCAGCGATGCTGACCGGTCGACCCGCAAGCGACGAGATGACTAGCCGCCGTCTGGGTTTCGTCTGGTTTCCGGAGAGCGGAGTCCGCGCGACCGCGTGGAGTCGAAGTCGGCGTGCGGATGCAGACTCCGACCGGTCCGACCGCACACCCTGGAGTCCGGAGTGTGCCCGCCGAGACCGGACTCGCCTAGGGACTCGCGCACCTGCAAGTGCATGGAGCATGCTCGCATCGGCCCTGCGCGGCTCTCGACGCTCTCGTACGTCGTAGCTCGTGTGGCTTTAGACTATCAGAGCCAGATCAGAGCATCGTATACGTAGAGGGGGAAAACTTTAGCTCTGTCGCCACGCACGTACTCTTTACACTGTGATCTGCGCGGTGTGTACAGAGTACACACACCTCACACGCCGTGCGAGGTGCGAGGACCGAGGTGCGTGGGAGCCCGGCGCAGCCGCCTTGTCCGGCGTCCGGGACGCGGGAGACTCAGACTGTCTCACACACGACACACAAAGACACACCGCGTCACCGTATATAACCCACAATATATACGAAAACAGACATTACGCAAAAAGAAGCGCCCGCCCTCGCAGAACACAAACACACGGCTCACTCTTGAGGTGTCGCAGCGAGCGCGGCTCCTCCGGGGACGTGTCGCCCCCCACACAGCGCGTCCGCCCTCCCGGTAGATCGCCCGCCCGACCGCCGCCGGAACGCACACGTTTCTCGGCGGCGCGAGGCGCGCAGGGCGTGCGCTGTGTGCGCGCGCGGAGATTAACAGGGCTCATGCGGTCATGTAGGAGGTGACGTCGATCGTCTCTGGCAGCTGCGTGATGGACACCTGAGGGGGAGGGGCGGCGAAGGCGAGGTGAGGGGTGGCAGCGAGGGCAACGAGGTGAGGGGTGGCAACGAGGTGAGCGGCGGGGGAGGGCGGCGAGGGCGGCGGGGGGGGGGGGGCGGCGGCAAGCCTCGAAGCGCGACTGCACGTCCTCGAGGATCTTCGCGTCCTCGTCGGTGGAGGCGAAGGTGATCGCGAGGCCCTTTGTGCCGAAGCGGCCCGCGCGGCCGACGCGGTGCAGGTAGGTGTCCGACGAGTCGGGCATGTCGTAGTTGACGACGATGTTGACCCGCTCGATGTCGATGCCGCGGCCCCAGATGTCGGTCGAGACGAGGATGCGGTGCTTGAAGTCCTTGAAGTTTTGGTAGAGCTTGATGCGCTCCTCCTGCTTCATCGACCCGTGGATGGCCACCGACGGGAAGTTGCACTCCTGCAGCAGCTTGTCGAGCGCGTTCGCCCGCGAGACGGACTTGACGAAGACTACCACCTGAGACAGAGGTGGGGGAGGGGGGTCGCCGCTTGCGGTCGATCCGGCGGGGCGAGAGCCGGCGGCGGCGGGCGGCGGCGCGAGGCGGCAGCGGTGGGGCTGGCGGGACAAGCGGGAGGGGAGGGGGGGCGGGAACGCCGCTGGCTTGGCGCCTGGTTGAACTCGAGCGCGTCGAGGAGCTCATTGAGCTTTCGGTTCTTCTCGTTCTCGGCGAGCTTGACGTAGTGCTGCTGCAGGCCGTGCAGCGTCAGCTTGGAGTCGTCGACGTAGATCTCCATCGGGTCCTGCATGAACTTCTTGCAGACGGCGCGCATGTCCGTCGAGAGGGTGGCGGAGAACATCATCACCTGCGGTGGTAGGGAGGGGAGGGAGGGGGGGGGGGGGCAGTGAGAGCGGGAGCGGGAGGAAGGAG